ATTTTCAACCATATGTGATTAAATGAGGAATGTCACATATCTGAAATCCGTATATTGGGCAAAAGCCTAAGCCCTGAAAACAAATAGAGACGAACATGCCGTTCCAAACCCGTAGCAATCATCTGCAGAACTATGAGAGTGCCGTTTCACTCGAAAACTTTGTGTCGTCCTAAGAACGCCAATCGCAAAAATAGATACTGTCCCAAAGTAATTCCATAATTAAAAACGAAGGCAAGTCCAAAGAAGATTTTCGGATAAAGAATTTGAAACTCTATTAAAAAGGGAATGTTGTGAATGTTGTGAATGTGAGTGATTCCTGACTGGCAAAAGGGATCTATTGAACTGCCAATTGATCTGCAGTCTATCTAAACGTCATCAATTATCAAAATTGCTCAATTTGCTTTCTATTGTCTCAGCAATTCTTTTTGAGACGTGGCTTTCGAGGGCTTTTTCTGATTTTGAGATCTTTCTCGGTTCTTCATTCACTCTCATATCTTGTTCAGATAGGCTGCAGGGTCAACATGGAGAAGTTCTAATAGCAGCATCAAACCAATATCCAATTTATCTCATAGATTTTCCTTTTTCTGTCTCTTGTGCCCTTCTTGACTGGCTCCTAGTCAATTTTTTATCGAGACCTAGTTAACATTTTTAGCACTAGGCTAGCACAATCATCATTCGAAAATTCAAATGCCTATCGAATCCATTTTAGGTTATCATTAATTCTTTTAAATGAAAATTAAAATATTTGATTTTTTTTCTCAGATTTGTGGTCTTTATCTTCATTTTTGTCAGCTTATTTTGCGTTTTTATTATTAAAGCGTTTTTTATCATCTGATTTAATATGAAAAAATTAATTTTGATTCGGAATGGAAAAAGTAATTTTTTTTGATCTTATGTTAAAATAAACCGTAACTTTTTTCTACTCACGAACTTGTAACGCAGTGTTTTTGAAGTGCTGCAATTTTAATGAACACTAAAAATTTGCACAAGCTCTCACCCAATTGGTCTAGAAGTTACGAGGTTGCCTTTGCACCCAAAATTTTTGGGATAAGTTTGTCCGGATCTAGCTTTTTTTAAAATGAAGATATGAAAATGAAGGTTTTTCTATAAAAATTTGAGACGAGACTTTCGTTTGTCTGTTTTTTTCCGCTCAGCTTCCAGCGCATTAACTTTTTGATGTAGACATGTGTGCTTTAATTTACGATCAGCACTTGTCCTGTTATTTTGTCTGTTCACTAACTCGGATTTTGAATAAGTTTTTTTTTCTGTGAAAATATTTTCAACCTATGTTTCTTTGGATGAAAAATTGTCGTTTTTATCGTTTGAACGGCAAAATTGGTTTTTTCTAGTTGTAATTTTGTTCGGTTGTGGCTTTGGTAATAAAATAAAATCGTCCAAAAACTTGAAGAACAGTTTGTTTAATGTTTTTTTTTCTTTTCGGTTCGATTGGTGTCTACTCACGTCATGTTGATAAGTTGCCGCTCGATAAATACAAAGAGTTGATTCAAAGTTGATACTTGTGTTTTTCAACTGTTTTTCTGAAACTGATATTTTCAAATTTTCTTTAAAAGGTTGTTTTTATACATCTTTAGTCTTCTTTTTTATTCTTTAGCTCGTACAGTTAAGCTTGCATTGTATACATTTGTGTATTAGAATTTCTACTTGAATGGGTACTAACTTTAACTAATAATCTGAAAAACTTAAAAGTTGATATCAACGAACTCATCCGCAGTTTCGTGATTTCAAATATGTCAGTGAAAATTTATAAAAAAAATTCTTTTATTTCAAAGTTTACCCTCACTTATATTTAGTTATCAAAAAACTCTTTTTAAAAGAGATGGTCAAGTAAAAGCAGTCACCTAAGTTGACCTGATAGAAAGCTTTTTGGATTTTACGTTGATGTTCCGAATTTCGAAGGAAGTGAGGTGTATATCTGCTTGTGTTGATATGTTTCTGTTCAGATAGATTTCCGAAAAAAATCGCCTAATCGGGGGGCTTAGTTTTGGATATTCGTGTTCTTAGCGGTGACTCTTTCAACCTACCACGTAATTAAACTACGTTTCCGCTGAACTTGGACGCAGAGAGTTTGGCAAAGTTGGGACTTGAAATAGGGAGCCCTCAAAAACCAATTGCCGACAAAAAAAGCACAATGAAAGCTTGTGAAAAACTCCCGCCTGTTGAAAACTGTAGACCTGCCCCTATGCTAACTAAAGGTATAAAATTAGGATTGAACTATTTTTGACTGCCAGATTTTTAGAGTTGAATTACAGCCGTATTGGAGGACTAAATTTGCAATTTTCTTTAAAGAGTCTTAGAAAAAATATACGCAAACATTTTTTGGAGTCTGGGAGGAGGGAGTTGATAGCGTCGTTTTTTGTACAATGGAGACTATTAACAAAGGGGACAAGACGGAACTGCTAATTTGTTATTACCGGTTCCGATGAGATTGAAGATACTTACTTACAGCAAATCGAGAGATACACCGACGAAGTGAATAAAATTTTCAACCATATGTGATTAAATGAGGAATGTCACATATCTGAAATCCGTATATTGGGCAAAAGCCTAAGCCCTGAAAACAAATAGAGACGAACATGCCGTTCCAAACCCGAAACAACTTGAAACCCTCTCTTCCTGCAGAAGTAGCAATCATCTGCAGAACTATGAGAGTGCCGTTTCACTCGAAAACTTTGTGTCGTCCTAAGAACGCCAATCGCAAAAATAGATACTGTCCCAAAGTAATTCCATAATTAAAAACGAAGGCAAGTCCAAAGAAGATTTTCGGATAAAGAATTTGAAACTCTATTAAAAAGGGAATGTTGTGAATGTTGTGAATGTGAGTGATTCCTGACTGGCAAAAGGGATCTATTGAACTGCCAATTGATCTGCAGTCTATCTAAACGTCATCAATTATCAAAATTGCTCAATTTGCTTTCTATTGTCTCAGCAATTCTTTTTGAGACGTGGCTTTCGAGGGCTTTTTCTGATTTTGAGATCTTTCTCGGTTCTTCATTCACTCTCATATCTTGTTCAGATAGGCTGCAGGGTCAACATGGAGAAGTTCTAATAGCAGCATCAAACCAATATCCAATTTATCTCATAGATTTTCCTTTTTCTGTCTCTTGTGCCCTTCTTGACTGGCTTCTAGTCAACTTTTTATCGAGACCTAGTTAAGTTTTTTAGCACTAGGCTAGCACAATCATTATTCGAAAATTCAAATACCTATCGAATCCATTTTAGGTTATCATTAATTCTTTTAAATGAAAATTAAAATATTTGATTTTTTTTCTCAGATTTGTGGTCTTTATCTTCATTTTTGTCAGCTTATTTTGCGTTTTTATTATTAAAGCGTTTTTTATCATCTGATTTAATATGAAAAAATTAATTTTGATTCGGAATGGAAAAAGTAATTTTTTTTGATCTTATGTTAAAATAAACCGTAACTTTTTTCTACTCACGAACTTGTAACGCAGTGTTTTTGAAGTGCTGCAATTTTAATGAACACTAACAATTTGCACAAGCTCTCACCCAATTGGTCTAGAAGTTACGAGGTTGCCTTTGCACCCAAAATTTTTGGGATAAGTTTGTCCGGATCTAGCTTTTTTTAAAATGAAGATATGAAAATGAAGGTTTTTCTATAAAAATTTGAGACGAGACTTTCGTTTGTCTGTTTTTTTTCCGCTCAGCTTCTAGCGCATTAACTTTTTGATGTAGACATGTGTGCTTTAATTAACGATCAGCACTTGTCCTGTTATTTTGTCTGTTCACTAACTCGGATTTTGAATAAGTTTTTTTTTCTGTGAAAATATTTTCAACCTATGTTTCTTTGGATGAAAATTTGTCGTTTTTATCGTTTGAACGGCAAAATTGGTTTTTTTTCTAGTTGTAATTTTGTTCGGTTGTGGCTTTGGTAATAAAATTAAATCGTCCAAAAACTTGAAGAACAGTTTGTTTAATGTTTTTTTTTCTTTTCGGTTCGATTGGTGTCTACTCACGTCATGTTGATAAGTTGCCGCTCGATAAATACAAAGAGTTGATTCAAAGTTGATACTTGTGTTTTTCAACTGTTTTTCTGAAATTGATATTTTCAAATTTTCTTTAAAAGGTTGTTTTTATACATCTTTAGTCTTCTTTTTTATTCTTTAGCTCGTACAGTTAAGCTTGCATTGTATACATTTGTGTATTAGAATTTCTACTTGAATGGGTACTAACTTTAACTAATAATCTGAAAACTTAAAAGTTGATATCAACGAACTCATCCGCAGTTTCGTGATTTCAAATATGTCAGTAAAAATTTATAAAAAAAATTCTTTTATTTCAAAGTTTACCCTCACTTATATTTAGTTATCAAAAAACTCTTTTTAAAAGAGATGGTCAAGTAAAAGCAGTCACCTAAGTTGACCTGATAGAAAACTTTTTGGATTTTACGTTGATGTTCCGAATTTCGAAGGAAGTGAGGTGTATATCTGCTTGTGTTGATATGTTTCTGTTCAGATAGATTTCCGAAAAAAATCGCCTAATCGGGGGGCTTAGTTTTGGATATTCGTGTTCTTAGCGGTGACTCTTTCAACCTACCACGTAATTAAACTACGTTTCCGCTGAACTTGGACGCAGAGAGTTTGGCAAAGTTGGGACTTGAAATAGGGAGCCCTCAAAAACCAATTGCCGACAAAAAAAGCACAATGAAAGCTTGTGAAAAACTCCCGCCTGTTGAAAACTGTAGACCTGCCCCTATGCTAACTAAAGGTATAAAATTAGGATTGAACTATTTTTGACTGCCAGATTTTTAGAGTTGAATTACAGCCGTATTGGAGGACTAAATTTGCAATTTTCTTTAAAGAGTCTTAGAAAAAATATACGCAAACATTTTTTGGAGTCTGGGAGGAGGGAGTTGATAGCGTCGTTTTTTGTACAATGGAGACTATTAACAAAGGACCCGGTTTTTTAAGCAAACAGTGTTGAAAATTAACTTAGAGCAAATTCTAAATTAGATACTTCATATTAAAAATGCAGTGGGTGATATAATCGATGAAGATATTGGGAATAGATTTGCCTTTTTCCGAGAAAAGTCGAGACCTATTTTCCAGTCCACAAATTTCCGCGCCTTTTTTGAGGTGCTTCCTCTTGTGGCCAAATGAAAAAAGTGTCTGGCATATAATCGTCGGCAGCTTCTGCTCCTGAATCGTTTTCTGGTTCGGCAATGCTGTCGGAGACTTCCCACTGATCGAAAGCGCGAGACGGCCAGTATCCTACCATAGTCCGTGGTCGAGAGTTAAGCCACTGCAAGGTCTTTTGAGTATGTATGGACTGTGTTAGGTCTTGTTGGAGGAATATGGTAGCGAGCATGAGTAGCAGTCCGCATTGGGCGAAAAGTGTTGGTTTTCTGGAGTTGCAGAACATCTTCGCGTATTGGCTTATTTAGTTGTAAATGCTTCTGAAACAAACAAGAGATAATTTATCTTTGCTAAATTTGCACGTCATGCAGTGGTCAGGTTAATGTCAAAAACATGCAATTCTAGCGCACTGAAAAGCCGCAATTTTGTCAAATATTTTTGAAAATGCCCAAAAAATGTCAATTTTGGCCGGGATTACTCTCAAAAAATTTGGCAAAATGGTGTCTGTATAGCTTTTTGTAAGAGATCAGAAAATCAGATTGGGCGACGAAGAAAAAATTCAATTTTTAAATTATTTCAAAAAAGCGATCCACTTGAGTAAATCACCGATCAGGAACTGCCTACCGGATTCAGGCCGAAAAAAAACTGGCCAAAAAATTAGGCCAGATTCAGGCTGAAAAAAAGCGTGGTTGCAGATTGAATATTTTTACTGCCAAAATATGATGAATGCTAAATTCAACACTCCTAATATAGGTCAATAGGTAATTAGACTGGGTAAAAATTGTGGTACCCGGGTTGACCTCCATAAGCCAAAAATGGATAATAAAATTGCATATATCAAATATATGCAAAAAAGCTTGTTATATAATTTTCGAACAATTTCGAGAAATGGTTGAAAAAGGATAAATTGATTTATGCGACTGTTTGATTCTAATAAAACAGTCTGGTGCTGAAAAAATCGAGGTTTTTGTTTTTTGGAAAATTGCTTATCAAACATCCGCATATATGGAAATTGTATGAGTAGCATTTTTTTGATGGCGACACAAAATTTTTTTTTCTTGTTAATCTGAAAATGCCCCAAAAAATGTTTTTGTTTTTTCTTTCAACAGCAAATCGAATTTTGTACTCATACAATTTTTTTTTAAATATATTTTTTTTGCATGTAAAATTTAACTTTTTGTGTGCACTTCGTAGTCCTGGATACAATAATGATAGATTTTTCCTTTTTGCTTGAGTTTTTTTTTCAAATTTCTATTTCTTTGATATAACATGTTTACTTATGTCTTGATCAATCCCGGAGTATATCCTCCTTCAACACAGATCCCAGCAAGGTTGCCTGCAATTTCAGCTTCGGAATGGACAAAGCCTTAATTGTTGCTACCCTTGCCTTGCCAAAAACGAACGCAAGTTTCATGTTTTTGAGTCTCAGTAATCTGGGCTTGATGAAAACCAACCGCCCACTAACTCAGTTGTTTATGACGACCTGCAAAATCAGGATAATCGTTTGATAGTGTAAAAATGACTCAATTGTATGTTGTAGAGTCGTACAGGTGTTAACGGCGTTCGGATTAAAACTTCGACCAAAAATGGCTGAAAAAGTATCATAAATCTAGTTGCGGAGTGACGCGGGCCATTTTTCCAGCGAATGATGCTTGTACCGAAGATAAAAACCATTAATGGTTTCATACCAGAAAAAAAGAGATGCGGCGAATACCAGAAAAAAAAAGAGGAGCAGCGGATCTACTTACATCACAAAAGTTATTGGGTAGATTTAAGGGGTGTCGTTTAAATTAAGTCAAAGTCCCTTTAACCGCTTGGAGTAAGCCTGTGGTCTCCCAGGAGTTCAAACTAAACTATACGACTGGAGTTTTTGACTTGATAAAAATTAGACTGAAACTTCCAAGCGTTCCGGCCAAGGGAGTTAAGTTTTGCTGAAAAGACCATTTTTGACTGTAATTGTCAGATTTTAGAAACTTTTCGATGGCGGAAGTTTTATTAGTATCGAACAGATTGGTTTCAAAAAATTGGCCTAAAATTTTACAAAAAACTATAACACTCGCTTTTATCTTGGTGCCTAAAATTTTGGCCCTGAATTCTCAGAACAAAATTTGATACACTAGTTTTTCTAAGTCAGGAGTATTTCATCAAAAATATGTCCAGTACTTGTTACCGTGTTCTGCCATAACGAGCATTGATAATTATGTGTGAAAACAAAATTAAACTCATGAATATTGGATAAGCGAGAGTTGAAAATAGGAGAAAATTCGAATTTTTTTTCATTCAGATCACGAAACAGGGGTTCGGCCATTTATTGCCTAATAGGAAGCTTGGACCGCTGACCCAACTGCTTTTTTTCAGGCACTCCGTCTCTGAGGTATCCGCTTGTCTGCAGAAACCCCTCTCAGGTAGTCGTCTATGAACAGATATCATCTCTGTGGTAGTCTTCTGTGTACATAGATGGCCTCTTATTTAGTCGTCTGTGGGCAGAAACCCCCTTTCACATCCACTTCTAGTTTTTTTACTATATTATTGAAGATTTTTTTTCGTGTGGTCTGCAAAGTACTGCTCGAAGGTCTTGATCCTTCTCAGGGTCTTTGTAAGAATTTTCGTTTTTAATGGTATGTTTCCGTCTGTATAGCTCAATTGTTTGCAGCTCAGCACTGCTTTTCGGATGCTTCGAAGGGAAGTCGGACCGGTCCTCGTAATTAAATAATTCGTCGCGAAACCAAAACGTGCTATCGAAAACTTGTGTTGATCCAATCTGCCTTTTGCAGAAACAAGAAAAGTTTTGGCAAAAATTTCACTTTCAAATCATCCCCTCTTTCTGTTCACAATATTGAAAAACACAAAACTTTAAATATTCAATGGAAAAATTTGTTTTTGGAAAATGTTTAAATGAGTACACAACACAATTTGCAGTTGAAAAACAGACCAAAAGTATTTTTGGGGCAACTTCAAAATTATTTGGACAACTTTTTGTGTCGCCATCAAAAAATTGCTAGTCATATAATTATCATATATGGGAACTTTATGATGAGCTTTTTATTCAAAAATCAAAAACCTCGTTTTTTCGATCACCAGACTGTTTTATTTGAATCAAACAGCCGCAGAATTTAGCTTACATCTTTTTTCACGCATTTTTCGAAACTGTACGAAAATTGTACGACGAGCGTTTTCCTTACACTTAATGTATGGAATTGTATGATACGCTTTTTCGGTGTAAGGAGGTCAACCCGGGTATAGAAGTTTGATATTGCATGTACTTTGACAACTATCAATCGAAACCCGATTTATAAACACGACATTTTTGTCCAATAAAGTCACGAAATGTTACCAAAATCGCTCGTATCCTTGCGAAGCTTTGAATCTTTCAACAAACTTTCAAAAAATATGGAGTAGTGTCGGCTTTATAAAGAAATGATAAACCTTCAAAAATGAAATGAAATTATTTCAAATTTACTTTCTGAGACTTTTTTCCGTAATTAGTTCCCCACTCTCTATGTAAAAAAAACAAAAAGATTTTTTTTCAAAAGTTTAACAACCTAAAATACCCAATCTGATTGATTCAGGTCAATTAAGACTAGTTCTGATTTTATTGGCGGATCACAATGGTTGTGTGGTAATAGCTCAAATTATATCGCGAGTTAATTGTATCAAATTGCATAAATTCCGACTTTTGAAACCCCTATAATTAAAAAAAAAGTAATGAAAAATTGTTGCAGATTTGTGCATGAGACAACTATCTATTTCGAATAACAAAAATTACCAAAATTGCTAAATAAAAAGTCGTGAAAGGTCTGGAGAAAAAAATCGCCCCAAGCGCAATTGTTCCGTCACTTTTTTCAAAAGTGGGATTAATTAGGTCTTTCCAAACTAATTTGATGCGAACATTTTGCTTGCGTTAATTAATACGTTACCGGGCGCAAAACATGTATTTTTTTTTACTTGACACAGGGAGTGTTGGCTTGAAATTGAGAAAAGTCGGTCGGAACATTCAGAATTTTTCCGGTAGTTTGCTATTCCAAGAACGAACTACTTGTGCTCGATGTGATATTTTTTTTTCTTCAGAGAAGTTTCGACTTTTTAATTGGCAAATTTTGAATCGAATTTTTTGTACCATGTCAACAGCAATAAATTTAAAATGTTTTCACCTTTGAATTTTCTTATAGAGAGGTCCAGGAGCGGATCTAGGATTTTCTCAAGGGGGGGCGGAGTTTCAAAAAATGTTTCGAAATTTTTAACGACTATTTTTCTTAGGTTGACCAAATTGATTTTCTGATCTCTTCTAAATCATTATAAAGACCCCATTTTGTCCAAATTTTCAGCACCGATGCAAAAGTTTGAAACAACAGGCCAAAAAAAAGCGTTTTTAGGCAGATTTTGGAAAATGAGACCAAAAAATCGCGTTTTTTCGGCGCGCGCTATCCCCCCCCCCCCCCCCTCAAAATTAGTATATATTGGCCCCAAAGGCGCGCGCCTCTGAAAAGTGTTAGGGTCCCTCATCAAAAATGGATATTTTAAAATAGTACAAAGGGGACTCTTTGGGTCGGCAGGGGGTCAAATTCCTGAGGGAAAACAGGGGCGTCCGCCCGCCCAACCCCTTAATCCGCTGGTGAGGAGGTGGTTTGCTAGTTTGACTAATTTAGGACTATTAACACGCAATATATTGGTTCTGTTAATGTGCGAGTAGCTAGATGCTATCACTTTGTAATTTACGAAAAATATTTTTCAAGTTAAACTTTCATTCATTTTTTCGAATGTAATCACTTTTTATATTTCTTAAATAAGGCCTATTCCTAAAATCTAAGAACAATTTTTTATTCTTTTTGAAAATGTGTGTTCAAAAATCTCGCTTTTTAGGCACGCATCTCCACCTCAAAAATAGCTTCAAAAAATTGTTTTAAAAGTTTATGGGGAGTTGGTTGATCGGAAATAGCACTAGTAAGATAGTGCCAAAGACTGAACCCTTTGGTAAATTTTGGCAACCGGAATTGGGCGAGGGAGGGAGCTGCGTTTTGAGCAAAAAGTTACTAAAAGTTTGCTTCTAACCTGATCTAAACATAAACTCCAATTTCTAGTCCGATTCGCCGGCAACTGGTTTAGTTCAGTATTTTTCACTAATGAAAACAACAAATCACGCCTGGTAGATATCACTTCAGTTCCCTAAAAACACTTTCACGCAAAGTGGGAAACGAGGGCTGAGAAAGTTAAGTGATCAACTTGGCTCAAAGAGTGCTCCTTTGATTTTGATGAATGGCCTGTTCGGCTGCGATTCAGTGCCACTAATAAGTCATCATGCGTGACCGAGGCGTGAAGTTTAGTCCGGACGGTGCAGCTGAACAAAGTGATTGGTGTCCGATCTACTCAATAAACCAGTTCACTTATTGTTTTTTCAGCATTTGGAAGAGCTGATCGATAGAGGTGAGGGAAACAAAATGCCGAACAGATCAAAAACAGTTGAAATACACAATATAATCTTCTTATCAAATTCAAATGACGTCAAACCTGAACATTTTCCGCCAAAAGGATGTTAAAAAGATAATGAGTTACTGCATTCGTACTAACTTTGCGTATTATGTTTGCGTATTAATTTGAATGACATATCTGATAGAAAACTGGAATCAGCTGATTACTTTTTTGGGAGAATGAAAAATATGAATGAAAAATGAGAATGACTATGTCATGGAAAATACTTCGGTTTCAAAGTAAATAGTTTTGAACTACTTTCGGTCAAAATGAAAAATTTGGATTGAAAAAGTTGAAAAGTTATGAAGATGACTGTCAAAAAGCAAATATTTTGCGCAAAAGCTAATTTGAGTTATGTTTAACAAGGTTGAAAAGTCTTTGATTTTGAAATGAGTTATGGCCAAATATTAAGCTATAGTATCTTATAATGATTTCTGTTCAGATATCCCATATCGCGCCCGAATCACAAGTAACCTCACAAATACAACCAGTACTACTCTGCGAACTCTTACTGCAATAAAACTAGAGATAAAAGTTGATCTCTGCGAGTTCTAAGTTTAACAAGCAAAAAACTAGAAAGAGTCGAGTTCCAGGACTCATGTCCAGACTTTGCGCGGTTTTCCAGACCACATCTTTAAACATGATTATAGAGTGTTCATTACTAGCAATCTTTTTTCAACTAGCCTTTGCAAAAGTTTTTTTGTGAAACATGGCTGTTTGCGTAGTCAGACTGCTTTTAGAAAGAAAAGAACACAGTTGATCTAAGACACTAATCGCTTGACCTAGTTTCTAGGATCTATTGCTGCCTAGAAAAACAGGTTTCACTGGGATCGTTATCAAACTAAAAAGTTGCACAAACCCATCCGGCCAAAAGTAGAAATATACGATTTACTCAACCTGAATTAATGAATCTCAGAAAAACCCTAAAACTTAAAACCTGTTTAGAAGAAAAATTTTGATCAATTTATCCGACAAAAAAGTTCAAAAATTATTTTAACAGAATACTAGCGCAGAAAAAAAGGCATCATTGGATTTTAAACAATATACTTTTGAAACACTTAAGTATTACGCAAAACCTACATGTTTTTTTTGGAAAATTAATTCAAACTTAAGCAATCAAGCAGAAATTAGGTTAAAGATAAAAAGAAGTTTCAAATAACACAACAAATTATCAAGGCTCCGCTTAAATCTATTAAGTTGTTAATTTCGTCAACAATGTTATCGATTCTTATCGATGATCGCTTAAATTATGTGTTATGGCCCGCTGGTGTCAAATCACACTCTAAACTAACAAAACAAGTGTCTTGTAATAAGGAACTAGATTTTTTTCAGTAACAACTTTTGTGATAAATTTCAACCCGCTTTTTTATGAACCTTAACATCTTGTATGATCTTTCCCACTTGGCCTAGAGGTAACGCCGTCATTTTTCCACCGTGAAGTATTGAGTTTGAGTCTCGGCCGGATCATTTTGTTTCAATATGTTGAATGCAATTGACAATTTTTCCAGCAAAAGTTGAGTTGTCGGACTTACCTTTGTCTGTTAACAACTTTCATTGTGCGTGAAATAACCCAAGTATGTTCATTCACATGATCGCAGGTAAAAAACACCATCAGAAAAAAACCTTCGGGTAAAGCCAACCATGAAGTCGGCAGTCTTATAGGCAGAAAAAATACCGCAAATAGAAGACGACCAACGACGCTAAATTTACCGCAAATCTATTTTTGTATAGCGAAACCTATCAATAATTCATAGACATTAAAATGCAATCGGAACAATCGGGGCTTCGTCCTTATACGATTAATCTTGTTTGTTTTTTATTACAAACTTTGCTAAATGTAAAATTTGTTACTATACTTTGCAAAAGGTGTGAAAAAAATGTTCTCAAAAATATTTGAAAATTTTAATTTTTTGAAAATTTCATAGACATCGATGATCGCTTATCGATGTCTATCGTCCTAAATATTATGTCTTATCGATGTCTATCGTCCTTTAAATATTATGTCTGTCGTCCTAATATTTAAAAAAGTAGATATCACATCGATGTTTTTTCATAATTAAGGTAAAAGAATGAACATAGTTAAAACAGAGTAAATCTATTGTAATGGAACCTGATCTAAACTACATTTTATGATTGGATAAATTAGATATTTTACCACTGTAAAGTATTTAATATTAACCAATCATGATCCATACAACTAACAACCCACTTATTTGTAAGTGCTGGAATTACTTGTAATTTCAGCACCAGAGAGATTTGAATTTAACTTAGAAATTAGTTGACTCTCCAAGAAGACTTCAGCAACCGCAATAAACCAGTATACCCTAGATCTATTGAGCCTAGCAGAGACTAGTTAAACAACCTGAGACTAGATAGTATAAGAGTAAGATTAGGATTGGTATTAGACTAAGAAGTTGCACGAATCTATCCGGCCGAAAATAAGATAGCGTGACGAGCAGACGGTGTACCCTATCCGAAATTACTCTATGAGTTATACTTTTCGGTCCTAACTCATCTGGTGCTACCATAAGTCTCGAAAAAGACCTTAATAGCTTAGAATTAACCAAAAATAGATTAGAATTTAGACAAAACCTTTTTAAAAAATGTTACACGACAATAATTTAATCGAAATGTCTCTACGACTCAATAGATCAAAGCCAATATTCCGAACGATAAGAGAACTACCCGGAATTGCAAGAAGACCTCGAACCAGAGACGACATACGACAAAGTAGAAACCTACCATATAGTTATATGATAGTTCGGCAAAAGCCAACACAAACTTTTGTATTTAGAATACTACTAGCAATGAATTTAGATTTTCATTTGCAAACATAAAATCTTGAAGTCAATCTTCAAAATCATTTCAGGCGCTAAACCAAATTATTATTATACAATAACGATTGATAAGGAGATCTCAGATCGTTTTCCTAAAATTATGCAGTAATATACAAAACATGTTTGAAAAATATTTATTGAAAAATCAAAATAAAAATTAGTAGCATGACAATAAATGGTTAGTAATTATAAATCATCCTGTTGTTCCAGCTTCATCACCTAAACATAACAGCATTCATAAGCTCACTAATATCATAAAAACACTAAATTTTTTCTCTACACAAATTTAAATCATTTTAAACTTAAATTCACTTAAATTTAAAATCAGATCATCAAGGCTTATCCTTGGATCTTAAATCATTTTCTATTTAATTAAATTTAAAACTTGATCATCAAGGCCTCTCCTTGGATCAAAAAGAACAATTTTGTTCTCCCCCACCCACTTAGCTAGTGTCTAACGACCTCAAACGTCGATTCACTATCCAACCCTTTCTAAAAACCCAGGACTAACAGAAATTTTTGAACAAAACTAATCATTCAAATTAGGATAAACAGTGAAGAACTTCGGTTATTCATCCTTCACTTGATCCCCCCTCTTACCAGACCCAGGATAAATCTTAGACTTAGTAAGTTTAAAATAGTATCTAACGAACTACTCGCGTTCTAATTATACCTGAACCTTGTGGATCGATTTACTATTCTCCAACCATTAACACAATCACTACCCTTAAGTAAGATTAAGTAAGTTAACACCTTAGCTTATACTAGCCACGAGAAAGTATAAAATCATTCTTCGGAATCGATATACTTTTCTCCCCAACCCTGAACAAATAGACCCAGGTTAGGCTAACCAAAAAATCGTAAGGACTAACAGTCTAAGTAATAGAAATCATTTAACAACCTTTTGCATCCGTCATCCTAAACCTTATGTCATTTAAAAACCTAGGAAATAAACAAACAATCGTTTTACACAATTGTGAAATAGATAACAAAAAATACGATCTTGTAATCACACCACACACACAAACAGTTGGATATATCAGAACAAAACGACAAACACTAAAAAGAAAAATAATAACCAAACAAAGACAAATTACACGAAAAAGATTTTCCAAAAACCGCAACGCATTTTCAGAATCAGAAACCAGCAGTTTAGACGAACTTTATAAATTAAAAGAATCTATAGATAAAAATTGCCCCATTCATGATCAATTATATTTTTCCGACTCAGAAACAACTTCAAATTCATCAAAAAGAGGAAAAAGAAGAATAAAAAAGCAATATAAACACAAACCAGTACATTTATACAATTGGAATCAACCAATTAGACACATTGATAATTACATATTAACAGTCATCAAACGAAAAAATGAGCTCAACACACACCCCAGGTGAAGAAAGTCCAGATGATGATGATATCTTCCCCTTTATCGTAGATGAAACCACTGATAGAGGACAGCATATATTTTGCGAAAATTTACTCTTAAATTTGTTTGAACCCATAGGCTACTTTCTCGAGGACGCCGACGCGACCGACGAGGATCACGAAGAGTACGTCAGAGGGCTCATCATGAAATTTTAATAATTATACAAGATCTCGAAACTGGGATAACCCAATAGCACAAACTAATTCAGTAAACTTTCAAACAAATTTACATCCTTCACAGGATCGTACTGAAAACTATCCATTTTTTCAACAAAATAAAAATAAAAAACAAACATCTTATCAAATGGATTACTTATCCTCAGATGATGATTTTTTACAACCAGATATATTTGCACCATATAATCAAGAATATCGTGGACAAGGAGTACAGAAACCACATACAAATCATAGAATTTTTTCTCCACAACCGATAGATACACAAAATCAACAACCAATTCAGCAACAAAACCCAATTAATACACAATATTTTCAACCAATTCAGCAACAAAACCCAATGATCACACACTCGTATCAACCGACACAAATGCAAATTGAAATACCACTCCCATATTATCTTCAACAACACGAAATAACAAGAAATCAACTTTCAAATTTTTCTCAAATGCCAAAT